CCTCATCCTCCTCCTCTTTCCCCTCGTTCTCTTCTTCTTCTTCTTCTTCTTCCTCCTCCTCCTCCAAGATATAATTGATTGCATTTGATAATTTTGTATGTGTGTATGTCAGTAATAGTCTAATATAGTATCAGTCTGGCTGGCAGATGTTTAGATGGAGACCATAGAAACCATTAGTGATTAGCTAAGTGATGTTCCAGTAGTTCACAATCAATTTAAATGATGATGTACTTTGTATGGCATTGGCAGTCTAGTCTACTATAATCGGCTATCTAGCGGTTTAGATGGAGATGATAGTAACTTACTAGCAGTGATTAGCTAGGCAGAGCTAGGTGACGCTCCAGTAGTTCAATCAATTTATAGTTAGACCAGCCACTAATTGCTATGTAATGTACTAAAAATCTGCGTAAATTGAAGCTAGGAAAAAAGTATCAAAAATCGACTTTGTTAAAACACATGCTGCACACTGCTTGACAGACAATGATGCGATGAAAAGCAAGTGAGAACAGTTCAAACAAAATCAGATCTGAAAACATGCTTTAAGTCCTCCCCCCAAAAAGCACTTTCAAGAGTACGTTATTCTCTGTGCCCCTCCCCACATGTATACACTTTTTGGAAGGTAAAATAGTAAATAGATGGCTTGTAGTTTCTGTCCAGGCCAGTTATATGCCGTGTAGGAGTCCAGGCCAGTCGTGGGTACAAATGTTTCAGGTATGATGATGCATGCTTGTATAACGCGTGGCTGTTTGCCTGTCAGTCCGATCATCTTGGCTGACATCTGTTATGCCTACCTACTGTTTGCCTTCCGCCGGGGGACGTCTAGGATCAGGGTGATATATTGTGAGGCGAGACAGTAATACTATGTCGGCCCACCACAGATTTGATTCATTTTCTTTCACTATAGTATAAACCACTGCAGCCTCAACCGGCGAGGCCAATTCAGAGCTTGACACACAACCAGAAGAGTTCTCCATAATATATATAAATACATACTTTACATAGTTGTTGCATGGTTGCGAGGGATCCATGGAATTCTGTGGACTGATAAAATTTAATGTTGCCTGAGACTGGAGGTCAAGGGTAGCATTGATTTTCGAGGTACACAAAACTCCATGATGTTGCGTGAAAAACTGTAACATGGGTAGCTCGTGTAAGGCCTACCAAGACGCTGTTGGTTTTGCATTAGGCATGGTATCATCAGGGATGAATAATGACAAATTTTCATTGTTCAATTTAATTCCGTTTATTTATTTCAATTCCATTTGAAACACAACACACGTGTATGTGTGTACGTGCGTGCGTGCGTTCGTGTGTGCGTACGTGCGTGCGTGCGTGCGTGCGTGCGTGCGTGTGTGTGTGGGTGTTGCTCATCTGTTCAACTGCGCGGGCTGTCAAGCACATCTGTCCCCTCCCTCTACGACAAGCATATACAAGGCTTGCACATCCATGTATACTCGACCCAAATAATAGCGACAGCACCACTACACGCTACTACGGCAGGCAGCCAGCTGGCACACGAGCAGAGTAAACGCTTACTCATTGCTGACATATTTTTAGAATCTTCAGCCGGGTGCAATTTTAGGCCCTATTCCAGTCCGTGGCCTGCAACTGGTTCCTCAATAAATCAGGAGCGCGTTCCTACAAACAGTCAATATAAACTTACGTGGGATTTCAATAACACTACCTCACGTGGAACCTTTTAAAATTAGAATTTAGCCATGTATTATAGCTCAGACTCGGAAAACGTAGGATAATGTCAAAAGCTCGTTACAAATTACACACGCACAAACATATGTGCTTGTTTTAAAAAATGGGTTTAACTCTGACTAAAAGTAAAACATTTCAAGCTTAATCTAATGTGGTTGTGAATCCAAATGTCTATAACGTGAGCAGTCCACAGGAACAATGTTCACTGCATGTATCAGCAGCCTGCCCATCTTCTAATGTAGCTCTTGGCAGAGGAAAGGATTACATTTACAGCCAAATCACGTGCGCAATTATAATATAACGCAATGCATGTGTATAATGTCATTGTGATTCTGCCGATTATAGGAAAAGCTAACAACGAGACAAGACTGGTAACGCAAGAGTTGTAGTACTGCAGACCATACCCATGTAGCCTTATCAGCTACTTGTACATTTACACTCATACTAGACTAGAAGACCTCAATCAAAAACCCACTAAGATAATTGTACACAGATCAAGTAATTTTTTAGCAACGGTTATCTATACATCTTGTTACCGGGTAAATAAATTGTATTTTATAGATCTACCCTGATGTGAAAATCTATAAAAGCACCTTTACAAGGCATTACGCTATGCACACAATAAAATTACATTTATAAATGTAATGTATCAGAAATAAATAAAAACAAATTGTTTGATTTACTCTTATAGATACTGGAAGTTGTGTTAAATTCCATGTGGTCAGCTGCAGACTGAGAGACATGGCTGCAAAATACTTTATACTGCATGTTTTCATCAGATACTACGGATACTACTACATTGGACACGCTACGCAAACATACACAGAAATGAGACGAAGCCCACAAATTCACTATGCAGCAATCAGTGATAATCTCACAGAATTTTTAAACATTTTTACTGTACATATACCAAAAATCCCTAAATTGCAGTTCATACTAAGTCACACCCAGTCATCTTCGCTTCTTTCATGTCCTACCCCCTGTACTGCACATCTGTAGTGCCATCAAGAACTCTAGTTTCATGTGAAGTTGGGTTTACAGTATCGGGCCATAATAAAAATATTGTTTGTTTACCCTCACCCGACCAACCTGCCAAAAGTGGGCCGACTCAAAAGATTTTATTGATCTTTCCCATTTTTTTTTTTTACATATTTTATCATGTGTACGTTACATAGGCAATACATTATATGTACCAAGCAAAACAAACATTCAACATAAAAGGTATATCCACACAAGCACACCCGAGCATGTAGACACCATGCTAAATTTGTAAAAAAAAAAACTCTCAAAAAAAGCCTACAGCCGTACCCAAACTTTTCAGCCAAGGTCGGGTAAGGGCAAACAAATATTTTTTAAATTGTGGCCTTGCCTATTACGCAGGATTACACATGATCACGAGCACATGAACTTTACTAGATACAATAATGTAACCCAACTAGAGTAGGGTTACAACGCGAGCCTATTCTTTTCTTTGGCGAAGCCCCTGAGTGATTGACTCAGGGCGGTTTTGTGGTGCGTTTTTCGAGACTAGAACTTCCAAACTGGGTTTATTCTAAACACGAACCTTTCTCCACTATTCTGGGACTTACTATGTATCACAATACTATGTATTAACCTAATATAACCTGTTACAAAATTTCGAAGCGACGAGCAGCGATATTTCAAGCGCCATTTCTGTTGACCTGTGACGTACGCATTCCCAATGCGCATAGCGTTCGGCTAACTTCGGCTCCAAGATCGAATGCATCATGGGATGCCTGCTGTCAGTCATGACGTCACCAGAGCCAGCATGTCAGGCAACACAGCTGCCGAGGTTAGTCGAACGCTATGCGCATTGGGAATGCGTACGTCACAGGTCAACAGAAATGGCGCTCAAAACATCGCCGCTCGTCGCTTCGACATTTTGTAACAGGTTATATTAGTTTAATACAGAGTATTGTGATACATAGTAAGTCCCAGGATAGCGGAGAAAGGTTCATGTTTAGAATAAACCTAGTTTGGAAGTTATAGTCTCGAAAAACGTAAGTCTGTACTAAATTTCATGACGTGCTGCACACATTGTTTCTAAAGTATAAATTATACCTTGGACCTTGCCATTCGTCCGTAAGCTTTCTGCCTGCACTGTACATCACATTTAAAACGTATCTATTTTTATCGTACACCACCGGGGATGCCTGCGAGGCATTCATCATGCACATGTATACATGTTGTTGGCAACTAGTACACTGGCATAACATGCTGACGTTAGACAGTGTTGGTTTACTGCTCTTCATTGCACTCAATGCACTTATGACATCTCATTTCACAGAGAAATAACTAGGATGGCCGGGTTGCATGTTTAAATGTCCATGGATGTATTGCATGCACAGCTAATAACATGAAATTTATGTGTGGTTTGCAGTTGTACTGTTTTTGATCTGAAAGAGTTAAATGCCCAATCAAAAACATAAACCAAGACTGTACAATGAAAATCTTGCAGGGGCTGAACGGCTCATTTAAGGATCCCACTTCCATAACAAGTTGTACACCCCATGTGAAGAAAAAGCATTAAAATTAACTAAATTTAGTATATCATCATAGTTCATGTTTATTAGTATACATCATGTATATAGTTTATACATGTATGTATTAGTTAGTTTTATTTTTCTTAACCTAGCAATAATATGGCATATGAATAGATTTTAAAAATGTTTATTAAGTTTTCTTCCCTGAAAGTGTAGAGGTTAGCGGTACTACTACTACTACTAGCATATATCTACTTATACAAGTTATAGTTATACTATAGCACTATCAGTATCACTGATAGAAACAATTATGTAACCCAACAGAGTAGAGTACTCTCATCTACTCTGTTGGGACTACACTCTATTCGGACTCTCTGTTCAGTGATGGGACTACACCCTACAGACTATCCTCTGTTGTGTTGTCACTGTTGGATTACAAACACATAATTATTGTATCTGCTAGTGTTACTGTTAGTGTTACTGTTAGTGTTAGTGACTATTGTTACTGTTACTGTTACTGTTACTGTTAGTGTTACTGACACTGACAATGTCATGGCAGACTAGCAGCGAGTGTGATCTATAGCATACTATAGGAGTGAGTGGAGTAGTTACTGTCTATAGTATAAACTATGGCAGACTTGAGCCTCGGGTGCAGCTCAAAACACCTCAAACATTAGGCTAGTGAGTTACTGGGGTAGGGTTTTTGGCCAAGTTGAAGTTGCGTTTAGGGGTTGATTAAATTCACATAAGACTCAATAAACGTTACTGGTGTATAAATTTATCACTTACGTTCTTTTTCATGGTCGTATCCTACTATGACGAAGTAGTCGGCTAGGCGAGACATAGCCAAAATCCAATTGAATATTCACAAAACCAGAAAAATTCTTTCCATTTCCGCCATTTTGCACGAACAAGTGAACTGTCCATTTGTTCGCCGTGCGCGACAGCAGCGCTGTCGTAAAAGGCGGTAAAGCAAATAATCAAATCCTTGTTTTATACACTAAAATAGGAAAAACATGGTTCTTTCAACCCAACAGAGTGATGATGGCCGGAGTCATGTACTTCTAGGGAAACTGGACAATGCCAGAACCATGGCAAACATTCTCAAAGCAATCCACTTCAAAGAGGTAAAGGGTTCATGTTAGTATTGTTACATTCAAACAGGAAAACACTAACTTGACTAAGCCTAAGCCTAAGGCCTAAGCGGCAAGCCGGCTAAAGCCTAGGCTAGGACACACTGTCACTGACACTGCGCGATTTTCTACGCTGGCCGCTTGCGATCGATAAATACGGTGCCGGGTCCGCGCCGTGTGTCCGGCTCTTCACGCAGCCTTTTCGCTCGCGGACCCAACGACCCGCGCATCGCTCGTAATCGTACTTCAACATGATAATATTTCCGCCCGGTTTTCGACCCGGCACCGTATTTAACTCGATCGGCGGAGCGCAAGCGGCAGCGCTTAAAAGATTGCAACAATGTGTCCTAGGCTTAAGTTAAGGCAAGGGCTGAGGCGTGTTCAACAGCGTTAAATATCAATTTTGTCTGCTAATTCGTTTTTAATAGTACTGTTCGAAGACACGATTAAAATCTGCTGATGAACCGCCCATCTTGGATAAAGCCGAGCGCTCGGTGTTGTTCACAGTGCGCGCTGCCGTTCGTGCTGCGAGCGTTCGCGCTGTTGAACACGCCTCTGGAGGTACGGCAGCCATATCTCCAATTTACGAGCGCCTGCAATGTACGGTAGTCCATTGCCGCAATGCGTCGCTTTCCCACAAAAAATGCTGGTTGGAAATTAATTCACGATTTAAGAGTTTTGATGAGCTAGAAAACACTCGGATTAAGTACCGTATGAAAATGAACATTATTGTGCCAGCTAGCCTACACCAGTTGGTTGGGATTGATTGTCAGTTCAGATGCAAAAGATTGAAAGCAAAAGGTTATACTCCATGGATTAATTGGTTACTATGACAATTTTTCTCATTCACATGTACAATTTTTAAGACAATATTTCTTATAGTCTAAATAAAGCACAGTAACGAATGAGGATAGCTCGCATAATGTTGGTAAAATTTACACCAACAATGGATAGCAGTAGCAAAGGTTCTTCCTTGTATCCTTAAAACTAATAAAAGACAACACATTGCGAAAACAGTGATTAGCACCTGATGAATGAATACATTAATGTTTTGTTCAAACAAAGATGATGCCAATTTCACATGACCATGATATACATCGTAAGAGGTTGAATTAATCTAATATAATGTAATGTTGAAATTTCAATATAGGTACGAAAATGACTGGGGTCCTAGTTGCACATAAAAGCGTCATGTATGATGTATGATGTCTGCAAAGACTCGCACGCCTGAAGGTGTGCACTTTCCACCATGACCAGAAATCGACTTTCTGATAAAATACTCGCACACCACACTCAAGCTGCAGAAAAAATGGGTGTGACATGCTATATTACTACGCAATTAACTGAGCACGTCGCTATCACTATAAAACCAATGTTGTAATAGCCCCCCTCACATATACACTACCTAGTGCAACCCAAATTTCTACAATAATTTCACAAATTATTCAAATATTACACATGCAAGTCTATGACTGTAGACATAAAGTAATCCTAGTGGTGTAGGTAGTTATAGAATGTTTAGCTATAAGACTAGGTCAAACAAATCTTTAAATTCTCAATAACTGTAAATATGGTAAATAAACCAATTGGTGTTAATGCTAGGTATAAAAGCCAAACTAGAATATACCCACATGAGAAAAGCTTAAGTAACAACAGGAGTAGATAATAGGGAATTCCTATTATCTACTCCTGGTAACAATAAGTAGTCTATTAATGTTCACCTTTTCTTGGTTATTTGTTTCAGTCAGCTAGTGTCTACGCAAGTGAGAATGGACTAAAGTTTACTGTCGAAGATGCAAAATGTGTTCAGGCTAATGCATTTCTGCAAGGCAGCCTGTTCAGTGAATTTAAGATGCTGGAAGAGACATCAAGCTTTAAGGTCAACCTGACTGTGCTTATTGTGAGTATGACTTTATTACGTGAAATTTAGCAACTGTATCTGTATAGTAGTACAAATATAAAAGGAAGTAAAGAATTCTGTTCCTCTACATGCATTTTTAATATGTCATCCTTGGTCTCTGACTCTCTGTACATCAAGCTGAATGCTTCATAACACTATACATATATATAACTTAATTTGTTCACACTTTCTTGCATTACTTATCTGCGCATCTGTCTGATTTCACATACTGCAATTCCTATGAATGTGTTATTCATACAGGATTGTCTGACAATTTTTGGCACAAGTGCCACTCCCGGAGTAATGACGACATTGAAGCTGTCATATGACGGGTATGGATCACCGTTACGGCTTATGTAAGTTGGGCCATCACAAGTTTGCCGAGACATGATAAAGGATGTATATTCATTCATTCATATGTGTGTAGTTGAGTTCCTCATCATAGTTTGTAAGCGGCTATGTTTCCTTGTATGGTTTAGTAACTGATGGAAGTCATGTGCTTATAATGTTTCTTCAAATCTTCAGCTGTCTGTCTGTCCATCTGTCTGTCTGTCTGTCTGGCCATATGTCTATCTGTCTGTTCATCTGTCTATCTGTCTGTCTCTGACATTGCAAGTTCTGAGCTTATATGATCTTGTAAAACTTAATTCTGTGAAGAACACTCTGTGAAGCAGCACATCTGTAGCCTATAATTAGATTTTGTTTTTTTGCAATCTTTATTTTGGACATTTGTGAACCAGCAAATATATGTTGTATCGTTTTTCAATGTAAACTCGCAGGGCTGTTTAACTGTCTGCTGTCAACTCTAGTGTTTCCCAATGTTTTAGGCTGGAGGAAATGGGGGTAACGACAGATTGCAGCATCAAGACCCAGGACGCTGATGAGAGTCTAGATTTTGACTTCTGCAGTGAAAACGTTGTAAACAAAATCATCATGAAGGTAAAAACTACCAGCAGGAATCAGTGAACACATTGCAGTTCTGAAAAACCTGCCAACAAATATTAGGGCTCTCTGTTTATTTAGTGTATCAAGATAGTTGTTTTAACCTACTGTACTAGCTACAGGAATACTCATTGTTACAGAAATAAAGAGTTCCAGAAGAATGTCTGTAGTCTGAAAGTCCTTGACATGTTTTCTATCGACTTACATTATATCGGTATTCTGTATGCATTATCAGCACAAAGAGAGCACTATAATGGAGAAGATATGATGTTGATATATGATATATATTGATATGAAAATATATTTATTTTTAGTGCTATAGCAGTGGAATGACAGAGAGTCATAACCAGGGAGCCTATTATAGACTCCCTGGTCATAACATTTTAGTGCTGATACAAATGACACAATTTTATATGCTATACATTGTATTACATTGTATGGCAAGTCCAATATCACTGACAATGTGTATAGAAAAGAAAGCTGGCTATAAATTTACTTTCCCTTTAGTGACCATTATATATCGGTTTGACTGTTTATTTAATTATATATAATATATGATAAGGTAATATAAGAAATAAGCTGTTAACTAGCCATTAGTGTCTTGTTGTGTAATCACTGAGACCTGATCAGCTGGCAATGACTAAAGCTGATTGAATGATTAAACGACTTCACTTTTATGTAGCAAATGTGCTAGTTCTCTTTTCGATTTTACTAAAGTTGGCCTTGGTGTTGTTACTTATTTTCATTTACGACTCTACGAAGATCACGGGAATATTTTTCTAATTTCAGTCAGAATGTCTGAAGGAAGCATTTGCAGAGCTTGACATGTCAAGTGATGTGCTGGAGATCTTGATGTCCCCAGACAAACCATATTTCAGGCTATCGACGTTTGGCAATGCAGGCAGTACACACGTAAGTGTGAGGTGACAGGGCAGGCAGCACACACGTAAGTGTGAGGTGACAGGGCAGGCAGTACACACGTAAGTGTGAGGTGACAGGGCAGGCAGCACACACGTAAGTGTGAGGTGACAGGGCAGGCAGCACACACGTGTGATATGACAAAGCAGGCAGTATAAGCATGAATGTTACATGGTAGCAGTTGTATGCCATTAACCTAAAGACAAGCTCCACTACAGTCAGAATGTGTTGAAAGCAACTTGGAAGCAATCTCCACTCTGCCCTACCATCGTATTTCCATAGGCAATCTATTCAATATGGTAATAATGTCGTAATAATTTCTGGACATAGTGGCTCCCTCAGTTGTACACAAAAGATGGTTCTATAGCAGGCAGCTTCTGGAAGAGGTTTGTCATCCTTCGAAGTTTTCTACATGGGCGTTTCGGGTGTAACTTTGGCACATAATCAATATCATGAACCTATGTAAGCATAGCTAGCTTAATGGCATGTGCTGACCAATAGCTATTTGCGTAACTGCTGACGTCATCATACTCTGTATTCTAGTCTTCGAAACTTCCCCTTCTTGTCCTGGTTTGCTTCCTTGTTTGATTGTTCGGCATGCACTGAACCAATAAACCTCCTTGTTTAGGCTGATTACTCTAAGGAGTCAGACATGGTAGAAGCTTTCGAATGTAAACGCACGACATCTAACCGCTACAAGATTGCGCTGCTGAAGCCATCTGTGAGAGCGCTGGCCCAGTCAAGCAAGGTATCCGTGCGCACTGACGATCGTGGCTTCCTCTCCCTGCAGTATCTGATTCAGGTGGATGATGGACAAGTCTGTTTTGTTGAATATTATGTGAGTACCCACATAGTTGATGGAAAAGGAACTGGCAGACATGCTATATATATAGTATATTATATATATAAGTTATAGTATATATATATAATAAATTAATATATGATTTAGCAGAGAGAGAGAGGAGAGTGAGAGAGGAGAGAGAGAGAGAGAGGAGAGAGAGAGAGAAGAGAGAGAGAGGAGAGCAGAGGAGAGAGAGAGAGCGAGAGAGAGAGAGAGATAGGGGGCGGGGGAGAGAGAGATTATAGAAAATCTAGGTAGGTGATCTCTTAAGCATAGCCTGGTAGTATACAGATTAGGTTTTGTAAATACTTTATTATATAACTCTAGTATCCATTTACTGGACTCACTAGTTTTTGTTGTAATTGGCACCTTAAATATTAGACATAGCCCTAGCTCCAAAAAAAACATCAAAGTCGTGTTTAACTATCCTTTTATATTTTATTTTACTGATGTAGTGCTCCCCCGATGAGGAATGTGACAACTGATTTCTTCGTGAGTGAGGAAATAGCTCATTTTCAGTGAGACAAAGAGCACAGCAAAGCTGATCCTCAGTAACCACTCATCGGTCGGTCGGTCGATCCGGACGCCTATCTAACCTTGTCTGTATAACATTGGTTGCCGTATCTGGAACTACTAGCCATCCCAGAACGAGATAATAATATAAAAGATTGATATTCCAGGGAAAATACCAGTGAAAATTGTAAATAATGTTTTCTTACCCAAACATTGTGTAATTTACTATTTTCTGTCATAAAATAACCACCTTATCACCACTACACATACTTTGAGACTATAGTGTATATTATATACCCTATAAATAGCAGAAAACGTGCAAAGTCAATAAGATTAGGATGGAATGTTTGAATTGCCAAATTTGAAATCACCAGATGAAAATAGAGCAATCTCTTGGTCTTTGTCTTGGCGAGATCTACAGGTGTTTTGGTGTGGGTTCATCAGGTTTGGTGTGGTAACATCAGGTTTAAATTCATTTTTATTGTGCAATGATTCTATGAAATGAATACACTGTTAGGGCGTAAGGTAGAAAATTAGTTCTATTTTCTTATTGGTAAACTAATGCTGTCAATTTCGGGTTGATCCGAATCTTATGGGCATGAACGCATATTAAACTATGTGATGCGAGTGCGGAAAATAGAGGATTTCTCTGTGGTTTATTTAATGCATCAGTCACATCATGTATAGCTCTACCTAGTGGGATCTATATTACAGTCATTTATCATTGTCATATCTATCACTGACAAGTGTATAGGCCAGGCATGAGATATTGCTATTTTATTTATTTATAATCACTTAGCTGTATAAACTTTGTAAATATTCTGTATTGGAAACACATTTCGGTAAATATTTGTTAAGTCTGAAATAAAATAATTTGTTAATTTATTTTAATTTCATGCTTGTTTGCTATGCACTCTTCTTCCAATTCACATTGATTTACATGAAGCATGTACACACTGGCCTTATTAATTTGATAACGATCTCCCTTTCTTATTTTACGTTCTGTGATATAACATGTCAATATATTTTGCATTGTCCTGAAAGATTCCATGTGATATGTACCATATATTATGTAAAATGTCCATAATATGGTTGCAAATTTATAATATCTCACTCTATATCTTTATCTTTCTCTCTATCTCTCTCTCGCGCTCTTTCAAAGTGAAGACAGCGCATATATATGTACAGACTGATTGTGAAGAAGTGCTTAGTGCCAAATGTCGGCATCTTTACAATTACAACATCTGCATTCACAAAAGGGACCACCATTAATAAGCTACTTTTTCCACAACAGATAGCTATATCCTTCATTCTGAAATGCATCGATCATGTAATATTCAACCTTCACATCAGCAACCTGTACTTGAGGCAACGCACGATGTTGTAGTATTAACCGCCCATTAAAACGCAATTTCAGCGCAGCACACACTTATAATTATCAGCTGGTTATCAGGCAATTAGAATTTGTAATTGAACCCAAATTTCCTCTATTGGAGCAATAGCAGATTCAAATGTAGACTGCCTGCCGCGAACCAATGAGTTGTTGGCGTGAACTGCCCTTTCAGACACCAAAAAATATACCCGCGAGTAGAGAGAGGGCCTTTGTAGTTAGACACTAATGTGTTCTTCCACGTTCGATTTCGTATTGTGTTGTGTATATCTATGGTATTATGTGTCTGTAAAACTGGCCTACGGCCCCAATACGCACTGACTCCAAATGGCATTCACGTACAAAGGGTGACCCGTAATGGGGTGCTCTGTGATTACCTGTAGGAAACACTTGATTCATATTTTAAGCATGCTATTCCCCCTTTCCGAGTTGTCAACACGTAAAACCGACCCGGAGATGGTAAACACGACTTAAATCTATGACTTATGAATAGTATTTAAATTTGATATATATAATAACTTCGATATAAACAGGGATGACGATTATTTCGCAGCCTCTCATATTGTCTGCAAAATGAGCCCAATTTAGCGCGACCATTGAGCATTGCAGACGGTTGTTGCAATGATCTGTTTGGATGATCATGTGCGTTGTAGTAATCCACATTATCTTCTGTACTGTAGCAGAAGACATGAGCGCGTTATTTGTAAACAGTCTGTAGTTAATATAATGGCTTTTGTTAACCCTATATCAAATCGTACATAATATACGCTCATTGCCTGAACGACGCGCGCATCGACGTCACGTCAGTCGAGCTGTGAATGGTTGCTCAGTGTACATGTTCCCATAGACAAGAATATCTAGTCTATATTCTTAGTCTATGATGTTCCCCAATTCGCATGTGAAGAAGTTCTCGCTAGCGACTACTGGAACCGGTGATGTCACAGTTAATTGGTGGATGGTATCGGGTACAGCTGTTGATAGTGGTGGGCACGCACTATGTTATGGCATGTTGTTTGTGTCATAATTCGATTTTTGTTTTATGGTTGATTTTATCGCATATAACATTCGATTTATCACATATAACATTCGATTTATCACATATAACATTCGATTTATCACATATAACATTCGATTTATCACATATAACATT